GCATGTGGGCTGCAAATCTCTCAGACTGCATGGGCAACTGCAGGGTAGGGAAGTCTGAATGAGGTGGGAAGTTAGAAACGGTTTGACAATTCATCCAAAACCATTTGAAGCCATACTTAAAGATTTGAAGCCATATTTAAAGAAAAAAACCTTTCTTGCACGTATACACACTATTTTTAGTAGGTACATATATACACTATCTGCACACATATGGCCTTGGCATAAACAACAAACTACGTAAATATTGTCTTGACAAAATACAAATACACTAAAAAATAAGTGAATTTAAAGTGATTGCCTGCTGTCATCTATTTTCACTGTTAGTAGACACAGAACATGAAAATACCAAGAGACAACTTTTGTGTTTGTTCGACAAAGTTTTCCCACATTAGAAAATTCGGGAAGCCGTTGAACTTGGAAGCAGAGTGCATATGAAATGCGATACAGCAATGGTTCCAGAAATAAAATTCCTACTTGTCCAATTCAGAAATTTGTGATCTGTATCTCTCTCAATCCCTCCTCTTTTAGGATTTGCATCAATAATCCTTTCTCTGCTTTGCATCTATCAATTTTCTCTGTCTTGTATCCCTTTACCAACCTACAATATAGAATAATGACTCAGCTCTCCCATTTTTTAAAAAACAAAATAGACATGCACGTGTATATGTGCACAACTTGATCCAGAGTTATCTTTTTTCCCCTAATATTCCTTAGCATACTTGCAAAGATTTAAAAAACATTACTTTATATTCAGATTTCTACTTCCTTATCCCTCCATCACTTCTCAACACCTTTTGCAATTTACTCATATCACTTTACACAGGAGAGCTAAGCCCAAGTTACACAAACAGTCCCTTGTTTCTGGAGATACAATGGACAGAAGGAATATCCATTTATAAATATATGTGTATATATCTGTGTACGTATGTACATCTATAGATCAGAGTATGTATCACAGAACTTTGCTATAGCCACTGACATTAGAAACACAGAAAAAATACAGTATTTAATTCCAAAAACATCTTAAATTTCCTTACACAACCGTAACATTTATTTTAACATCATTAGACAGTAAGCACCATCACCCTAATTTTCACAGTTGCTTTGGCACTTTCAGAAAATCTATGTCCTTGGAAGAGTGTGTCGTCTAAGCACAGCAGCTTTACTAGGCAAACAGCAGGACTGCTCAGTAAGACTAGATTCAGCAATTTTGTAACAATGAACATGATGTGAATCATTTATTACGTGGTTTCGCATGTCACAAAATACCTTTGTTTAAAAAGTTGACTTTCTATAAAAGGTGAAAGGGATGAGAAGCAGTGTCTCAAAATGACAATATTTAGCTTGGACATTTTCAGGATGTATACATAGAAAAATGGCTTTAAACTAGTAAATCCTTCATTTATTCAGTCAACTGAACAATTTGTGAAAACACAGGGTAGAATACAATTGCTTTCCTTATGACATAAAATGTCTTCTATTTAAAAAACAGGAAAAAAATAAATTTATGACATGCCTCAACACATGTTATTGTGTTAATTCTGTATCCTATGTAGGATTGTATAGGTTCCAAGTATTTTATTAATAAATTAGTCATAAGGTACTTATGAATCTCATAAAAAATATTTAATATCTTTAGTTCAGCCATGGGCTTATATTCCATAATCTTCATGACTTTCTAATCAGCACAACAGTGTTTGAATCCAAAAATGTCCTCCCTTACCACCTGAGCCACTATCTCTTTAAAAACTACCTACATTAGGATTAAATTTAAAATATTATAAAAATTACACTCACTTTTTTGTCTTTGTTGTATTTGGCAAATATCTCCTGAGCTCTCTCTTCTCCTCCGTCCGTGAACAACATGATAATCTTATTGCAGTTGGCTCTGGAAACGTTATACTGTATTAAAAAAAAAAAAGTACATCATTCACAGTAAGAGCAGGGGGTACATAAGCAGTATGGAAAGAGCACACACAGGTTGCAAGTAATGACCAGAGTATCTGCTCAGTAAGTATATTCTAAGAACCAGTTCCTGGATCAAGCCAGACCTACCTCTGCCACACACACAGGGGCTCTGCCTCATCTGCAACATCCACAGGTCTCCCTTCTTTCGGGTCTTTGATCCAGTATCACTCTCTCTACGAGGACTTTCCTGACAATTATGTTTTAAATTACAATCTCTCCTCGCAGATTGTATTTTGCTTCCCACCATTTCACCCTCATGTATGTGTAGCATATATTTTATCTGTTTTTTTTAATTACTGGCTTCCCCCAATAGAAGGTAATTGCCTTTAAGGCATAAAGTTTTGCCTTTTTGTTCAGGGTGGTTTCCTTGCCTTCATGAGTATCTCAGTGGTTGATTATTAAATGGGTTTTAAATTAATTAATGGCTATGATGTCAATTTAAGCCCAAATAATTTATACCAGAAACAAAGTAATATTAACAAAAATGTGC